TCCTAAGGGTGAAAAAATTACATTACACACCACTACTTTCGCGGACGATGATGCACTTTGATGTGCAGCCCCGAGACGCATATCAACCACAGTGCAAACGAAGCTTTAACAGACTCTGAATACGACAACCACCTTCATTCGCCACGCGGCTCTGACGCTGTCTGGAAAAAAGACGTTCGCGCTGACGTTCCGGAAAACAGGTGGGCTTAAGGGGAAATTCAGTACCCTACGTTTGGGAAGCAAGCGGATTCGAAAAGAAATCGGGGTAAGATATCTTGGCGTCATTATTGGCGATAGAGACAATTGACGTCCAGAAGTTAAGCGCACCATAAACGAAGTCCGCATACTTTTAGGTGTTATTCGAAGAACAGCGGGTCGTACCTGAGGCGTTGATCAGCAGGTCATGTTCACACTGTACTGCGGTCGCATCGTTGACAGAATCCTCTACGCCCTGCAGACATTCAGTGGAAGAGCACTCAGGCTCTGTCATGGGCTGTAATCTTAATCGAGGAACATCTCCACACCTGTCGAGGCAGGTGACTCACCAATTGAGAATCAGACACAGGAGAAATGATTTCGTGGAGCACCTTTATTCCTCAGAGTACCATTATATGAGACGTTAATCGACGTCATTCGGTCACGCGAACATTCTCACTTTGCCACAACCATGAGCCTGTTTGTCGATCGGCTACCCAGAAAAGATACCACCACTGCCTCTTCCAAACCAGCAGGACGATCATCTCTAAATTCCAAGAGAAATTTTCCGTCTCCCACGGCATGGCCAAGTTGCGGATTTTGTGGCACGCGGCATCGCAAATAATGAAATCCAGTCTTATTCTGGAATGATTACCATGTATAAAGAGGGCAGCAAAAAGAGATGTATCCACCACAGCTGCCTACCTCGTACCTTCTTCCAAGGCCCGCCTGATCAACTGCACTCATAGAACCACAGCGGTGCTTGCAGCCATGTGTCCTGCACTCACCGAAAAATCAGAGCACACTAAGAACGAGCAGCTTGTGATCTTCACGGACTCAAGAGAACCTTTATCACAACTTCAAAACCTAGAAAAGTCAGCGCCAACTTGCGAAACTCATTACCCAGCTTGCGTGCAATTTGGCAAATAAAAAAAAACAGCACCTGCTTTCATGAATTCCACCACATGTAGAGGTGCAAGGGAACAAAAAAAAAACAAAAAAAAACTGAAGGCCCTTGCCGATAAAGCCTACGACGACGGATTACAAACGACAAAAATCCTGCAGTACAACTATCCACAGAGTATTATGCACGACCAGGTGCAGACTAATACCCCTTAAACCAGCGGCTTCGTGATCAACCCCTCTTATTATTCGAAGCAAAATAATCCACGAGAAAGCAACATTCTTCACTGCACATATTACGAACTGGCTGCACTAACACCTACTTTCGTTTTCACCAAATTCGACGAGGTCTACTTTAAGATATCTTCAGGGCGACGCGACAGAAAATCTTCAGCACACTTTTTGGATTATTCCCAGAAGACTAATGAATGGCCTTCAGAAAGCAATCCCGGGAAATAACATCGACAACCGTAATACCCGAAGTCCCCTTGTCACCAAGGGACAACCAACGACCAGGTTGAAGGTTTTCCAGGCCGCGGACCTCTGACTGCCACTCCAACCCCTACCGCCAGGCACCAGCCTTCCGACTCCTCTTCCTAGCCACTCTTGGTTCCCCTCTTTGCAGGCGAAACGAGAAAGATGACCCGGAATTGGAAGGCTAACCTCTCGTTTTGCATTTCCCCTCTTTCCTTCGTAATTGTTTAACAAACTCACTCACTCCCTCACTCCGACCACTCAATGTGGCGTCGGCAGGCGCCAAAACGGAATGTTTCAAACTGCAAGACAGGATAAAAAAGCCAATTTATTGCATGTAGCTCTAGATAAAACGCACTTAATGGGCCTCAAATAGCGCCAGTACCTGGCGCTATTTGAGGCCCATTAAGTGCGTTTTATCTAGAGCTACATGCAATAAATTGGCTTTTTTATCCTGTCTTGCAGTTTGAAACATTTCTTTCAAGAAGTACTTTTTCCACTGACGTGCGTCTGTTAATTCCGATTTTTTGAATGCATCGCAGAGTAGTGATTACGCGAATGGAGGGGAGTTAATTTAGGATTAATATTTAAACCGGAATTTAATCTCCATATTTTTCGCTTGAACTTCACCATCTTCACTCGGCTTGTAATCCAGTGAGCTAGGTATAGGCATCGCAAGTTGTGTTTCGGCCTGAGTAAAGACCATCTGCAGAATCTTGTCTTTCACAACGTCAGATTTTATTTTCGTGTGTATTTTAACTTCGAAGCTTTCTACGTCTGCGCGAATATGACGTATGCTTTTTTTTTCTCGCATAATGCGCAGTAGCCTTTTTTGTTTGATTTTGTATTCCATATTCTGAAAAAAATATTTTTCCAGCCTGATGTGCAAGTTTAACATTTACGTCCTAGTGTTATTTCACACCTTGGTTAAGTAAGATTGGTATTATAATTTAAGTAACGGCATATAAGATGTTTACTTAACTTCTGTCGTAAGTTATTGGAGTGGAAGAAAATCCCTTTGGTTGTATGCGCAGTGCCTGAATCGTCCCACTTAGGTAATCGATGTATTCTTTAAAAGGCTCATTTGCAGGCTTCATATATCACCCGCGACGAGAAACGCTGCTACACCTTGTTGGGAAATCCTTTCGATCGCTTTATTGGAAATCAATGACGGAGCAAGTGCGTAACGCTGCAGAGTCCTGAAAAATGGTTCCGAACTCGATCGATTTCGAGTTCTTGAAGTATGCCTGCTCTTCCTCATCCCGTATTTCCGCTCGTGGCCACTTAGAAGATCACTTCGTTCTGTTTTCTAGGATAATTTTTTTTTCGTGAGTCATTCTGTATTTTGTCAATTTATTTTGCCGAATACGTCAAGCAAAGATATGCAAGAAGCAGCCCCCGTTTGGACAACCTTTAAATAAACAGGCCTGCCAGCGGGGACCTCTATAGACCCCTTTCGAAAGCCACGTGCCCATCCGTAAAAGGTCGCAACCCCTGCACAATGGTTGAGCAACCGTCACCGGAGAACGTGCAAATCTAAAACTAAAAGAAACACAAGCTCCAACGCAGAGATTAAAACCGGAAGGTTAGGCTGCATGTCCGCGCTTGATTAGTTTAGGCGATGATGACATTCGCATTGGCAGACAGCGAACGCCGTGACTTTGTACCTTTGGCGCTGCGTGTTTCCATCCCGTTGTCTGTGCAGTGCCATCTGTGTCCGCATTTGTGCAGGGATTTTAGAGCTTCCAATAGAGGGAAGACTTTCGGAAGAGTCTTTTGTGATAGGAAATGCTGGAAACACAGTCCTAGATCGAAATTATAAAGCTCCGATTTTAAATAAATTTTTTGTATATATTGATCAGCCGATTCTCAATAAAGTGTAAGATATAACTCACATCTTTATTTCTAAATCTACATAGAGTTTGCGTGCTATGCAAGCACGCGAACTAGTAAGGCGAAAGCACATGAAATGGCCCAAAAAATCTCTGATAACATTAGGCGTTTCTGAGAGATGCTCAATAGCGATCTTTGATCGTGTAAATGTCTACTTTACTGTCGAGGTGTTAGAAGTGAATTCTTTAAATTACGCTATTGGGTCGCTTGAAGCCAAATTACCCAGTTCTGATAGCGAACATTTGCCAATACATTTTCGGTTTACATGTTATTTTAAATACTTTTGTGATACATTGAGTTTTTTTTTTCTCTTTAAACAAGTCCTCAAGGGTAACAACCAATATTATTTTTAGTACATTTTTAAATCAAGAATATAAAACAACTCCTGGTTTAGTAAGTGGAATGGTGGGCAAAAATGTCCAAATAACTTCCGTCCTGAGCTTCAAAGCATTTCCGCCGGCTAATAATTTTGTTCCAAATGTAGTATAAGATTTTGCTCTATACAAGCTTCATATACTATATTGGGGACTCATGTTCCATATTTATTAACCTGCGGCTTAAGGGCTAACAGTGCAACGGCCTTGAAAAAACGACCTATTGTTCCTTGGATTTCTTATATTATCAGCGAGTGCTACTGACTGATGCGCACGTTAACCCTTTAATTTCTTTTGTCGTCCGCACATTGTTTATGTTGGAGCTGGTACGAGGCAGTGGTGGTTTCTTTTTCCCTTACCACAAGTGCCTAAGGTACCCATAGTTGCTTGATACTTTCTGAAAAATCCTTATATCTCGTATCATAATCTTTCTTTCGTAGGTAATTCGTAATTTCTGTATTTTAAGTTAAAAAAAAAGTATCTGTATAATGAGGTTGGTACAACTGTGAAACTTAAATAAAGTACGGCTCTTTGAGTACTATATGTCTTTTTCACCATCAATTCTGCGCGTTTCCGAGCAACATTTGCGAGGGGCTATCAGCGGCTGAGTGTGTTAACGTAACTCAGCTCGGAGCCCGTGGCGCGTAATCTCGCCCCTGCAGACGCCAGGAATTATGGTTTCGATCCCCACCCCCGTCCGGTCGGATGCATGAGCATCTGACCGGCAGGCCGGTGATGCATGTTAGTGACTCCAAGCAAGCGGTGGTGCTAACTGCACTGGCTAAATTTCCTATCTACACCGGAGATTCTAGACGTCGATTGGGGCTGGCTAACTTCCCGCCGTCTGAACACACCCACAACACAATTACTTTTATTAGGAAGAAAGATACGCTACAGCGGGTAATGTTAACCCACATAAACAGCTCCTCCTAACTCTCAAGCAAAAGAAACAATAAGTTCCATAGTTTTGTCTCAGACTCCTAATACAACTAATTACTCTTACACACTTCTCTTTGTGCACCAGGCTGCCTTGCTTCGGAGCCTCGGCCTATGCGATGGGCCGCTTTATTACACGTGACAGACCCCCCATTCTTGCGAGGAGGTCAGCTGCCTCTGGGAGGTGTCTCGTTTAATATATTCAACAGGCTACAATGCCTTAGGTTACAGGTCTTCGTGGTAAGGCGACTTTGGCTGCTGAAGATTAATCGCCCTGGTTCCAGGAACGTAACAGACACAGCAGGAAGGGAACAGGAACTGGGACAAGAAGGGTCCCTTGTACGGGTTGCTCGGGTCGATCACCAGCAGCTTCTGGATGTTGAATCGCTGCTGGCAGCTGGCGTAGAAGCAGGGCGCCACGAAATTGCACTGGCTGTTTTCGTGCCTAGAGCGTGGGACGAAACAGGGTAACGACATTATTCGGTGCGTGTTCATGCATTAGCCGCTAAGCTAATAGAAAACGGGAAAACGATTGCCCGAATCTGAGCATGGAAGTCCCTACCATCATTGTACTGCTCTAGGGTGGGCGTTGACGCGAAATCAATACCCTGCCGTATAAATAACAGAGTGAGGGGCGATATATCTTCACATGTTTTTTGTTGTTGTCATTTCGTCCTGAGGAAACGGGGATGAGCCTTGTCAAGCCAACCCATTTTGACTTTTAGCCGACGCCAGTACATATGTAGGGACAAAATTAAGCTGGACTTTAATAACTTTCATATATATATATATATATATTTAAATATAACTTTATTCGAATTTAGTAGGCATTTAGAGTGTTTATTCTTGTATATATCTGCATTCAACGTCCGATTTAAAGGAAGAACACAAGGAATCAAAATTAACTGTTGGGCTAGTTGGTTATACATTGTTAAAAATCAAAACAGCACGGAAAAGAAGGAAAAGAAGAAGAAACAAATGGTTTACCTCGACCTTTTTTCTTAACTCAGGACGCTCTAATATTTTCTAACTTCATCTTTGACCTGGGTTGATTTTGTTTATACTACTCTCATTTTTTTATCGTTCTCTCGTTTTTTTTTGCTAGTGTTAAGGGGTGAATTTACATTTAATTTTTATTTTTTTTAATGCATTTATACTCTGTAACATTAATTTTCCTCCTCTAGTACCTCCAGACGTCCTATTTCTTTTTTGTCTTCCTCGGTGAATGCATTTAACACACAGTTGGAGTAAGCGCTCTGTTCTTTCCCTTCTTCTTTTCCTTGCTGTTTGCGCTTTTGATTTTTAAGAAAGATAGGAAGGTGTCCGAGGGGTAGCCGAAAACCAAGAACATGAACGAATGTGATCGTGGCCACTCGACACGCTGCTTGATGTGGACATTTCCACTTGCTCGCTTTATTTTATCTACGGATTATTCAGCGGAATATTTTAGTAAAATACGTAAAATTAACGTTAATTTACCGACACATTCCAATCGAAGATGCGTAACGGGAGAGCGTTTTTAACGAACCACTGGAAGTTGTAACAAAAAGACTTGTTCCATAATGGACAAGAAATAAGGAAGGAGCTTTCGTTCAGGTTTTCGAGGAAAGTGTACAACACTCCCAAAAGCTTCTACCAAAAAAAAAAAAAAGTTTTTTTTTGTTATTTGTTATTTTTTGTATGGGAGCACCTGGCTCGTGAAGTGCAGTCCAGGTTGGTTAGAGCTTGCAACGTTGTAAAAAAATTCGCGCCCCAAGTGGTTTGGAGGGTGACAAATTATAATGAGTAAAATCTGGAAATAGAATGGGAGGTTTTCACTCATGAGGGAAAAAAAAAATCATTGACGACTTCATGACAATAAATGAAACCGGAAGTCACAGATGCTAACAAAAATCAAAACTAAAATTAACATTAGTTTTCACTTCGTCTGACTACTCAAAAAGTAACGCACCAGACAAATGCCCAGAGTGATTGCGCGGTATTGAGAAAGCGTTCTATGTGTTCAATCACACAGATGTTGCTAAAACTTGCTGTACACACTCCAGTAAAGTGATAAAGCAGCCTGACGTCTGTCAGTGTTTAAAATGAGTGTCCTTTTTATGCAGTGCGTGTCTTTCTCAGACGCGTTTCCATTTAAAAGTTTCTTCAGAAAAAAAAGAAAAGAGACAAAGGACAAAATCTAGAAGTGACTCATGCACTGAACAGACACACATATAAGTAATATACTATGAAGTGATTCTAAAAAAAAGATAGCACCCGCTCAAAATGGTTCCACATCCGCGAAAACTTACTGTGATGGGGACAAGGCTAAAATATGAATCATTATGTAATATTGGTTTAAAAATACAATGTTTGCCGGCTTCAATCTTCCGACAGACATTCTACTCCTGAAATACTTACTCTTATAATAAATAACTATTTAGAATATGCGTGTCTACTTGGAGTATTTTTTTAAGTGACTCTCAACACCGCTTATCTCTCATAGCCATAACTATAGGAGCGGATATTATGGAAAGGCGCGCTTCTGCCGATGAAAACTGGGTGAAGTATAGCTGTTCCCCTCAAATATATTGTTTTTTTTTACATGTAATATATTTAAAAAAAAGGTTGGGGATTCTTACATGGGTGTTGTGTCAGTGTGTATTTAACGGGTTCGGCGGACGTTATACAGAACAAATATTTATCACGATCCGTCGGGGAATTATCTACGAATGCTTAAAGAAACTTGTTTAGGTATCGTTTTATGAGTCATGCTCCATTTTAAAGCCGATTCGTAATAATGGTTAAACCAATTTATACAATTTGCGCACAGGCAATGGTCTTTACGATATTTAGCGATACGTTTTTGAATGTTTGTCGGTAATTCAATGAGTGCGTGGCATGCCTCATTTTAAAGGTACAAGAGCGACGTACCCGTGCCAGCAAACTCTTTTTTTATCACTAAGCGCGTTGGGGCAAGCGTCGACCGGACCCAGCCTACACTCGTTGTCACACCAAGAAAAAGGAAACGTTTGTGCATTTTCATGCGCTGTGCGAAGTAGTTCTTAAAGAATTTGGCTGTGGGAAGAGGAAACAATGATTTTGAAGTTCTAAACGATCAAGTCTTGATAAAATGACACAAACTTAATATGGGATGCACCAACATAAATTTTAATTCAACACTTGAAGGGGGAAATTCGTAGCCTTCCGCGAAGAGCCGCACTCTTTCTAATACGGTTCTTGACGTGGACACCTAGGAGGATAGATAACGGCAAAGTGCCAGTCACTCTTCGCTTTATCAAGGGACCCCCCTCCCCCTCCAACCCACTAAATATTCACGTGCGCTTTTATGCTCGCACTTTTTGAACTGCTGACAAACATGCGGAAACTTATGGACGAATATCTTAAAGACAATGACCTTTCTTAAAAATGTGTAAATTGATCTAGTCATTCTTTGTGATTCGCTTTAGCATTGCACTGATCGCAATTCATCGTGATGATGAAGCCTAACGTCAGCCGAATCCACTAAATACACAGCGAAGGGAAATTCGATGAAGACGGAACTAGAGGTGGGTGACCCATGTAAGGGTCACCCACCTTTAATAAAAATAATGTGTCAAGTAAAAAGAAATACTGTATGTAGAAAGAAATACTTATATGCCCAAATCCTCAACTTCACTCTCGTGCTGCTTTTAAGCAAGATTGAAATATGCCCCGCATTTTTTACGCCTTGTTTCGCGTGCGCATTGTTCTTAAGCTCGAGCTTTTATGGCACGCGAAAAACCCATTCGCTTGTCGTTGAACCCGAGCCAGGACCGTTCGGAAGCAACCTACTTAGCAAAAGCTGGAGACTTTAGGAAACAGTGGAAAATAATAGCCAACATGGCGATGTGTTCTGTCGTCTCTTTACCTACAAGTGCGATATTCCCAGAAATGTAGAGAGTTTAAATGAAAGCTGATCGATTTCCCCAAATCTTCGGCTCACTTCTAGCGTTTTGTACGACTGCAGCACGGAGCACGATTGTGTTGGATCAATTGTTGGCACCGTCGTCATGGCTTGTTGCACTGCGAAATGCTCCACGTTTTCAGTTTTTGTTTCTAGGGAAATGTTTTATATGTACATAAGAAAAGCTTTTGTTTCCATATTTTTCTATTTATTTTGTAATTACCAGACCAAAATAATTTTTGTAGCAATGTTAGAAATAACTGGACTAAAGAAATCAATGTATGAAAACGACGTCAGCAATTCACACTCTCGTCAGGAGTTGTTTGTGGTGCGAAAAACACACCCTGTTTCCTTTTTCTCTATAAATTTAAGTTTTTAGAATAAAAAAGAAAGACATATTTTTATATTTTTCTTCTTACTTGTAACCAGCAGACCATAAGCAGACTTTTGTCTCCTGTCTAACCAATCGCAATGCCGCCATTTATGCATGTGAACTTTCTGTTAAAAAGTTATAAGTAAGTTTAAGCATTTTGTATCTTCTGCATCTAACAATATCAAGCTGCTATCTTTTCTTTTATGTTGCGGGAAGAAAGCGTGACTCAAGAAAATGATTTTCGACAGCCAAACAAGTATAGAAGCAGGTTTTATGTATGCGAGCTCTTTTTTTTTTGCAAACTTAAGAAGAACACGCTTATTTACTGGGCCCCAAGAAATGAGGCGACATTTTCATTAAAATATTGCCGTGCCTGGGGACAACGCAATACTTTTTGCACAAAAGTCGTGGTGGTCGCGTGGAGGGCCAACGAGGTTAAGCTATAGATCAAGGGCATCAGCGTTCTTTGCCCCTCCATGTATTATGGGTTTGAAGCAGGGAAACCATAACAAGCATGAAAGCGTCGACAACACGACAAGCAATATATAATGCAGGTCATCCTCGTTAAATTTGCAATAAAGAAATAAAAAAAAAACATCCTTGTTAAATTATGGAGCCACCTCGGTGGCACCGAGGCGAGAGCGTCGGCCTACGGATCCCCATGTGGCGGGTTCGAATCCCGGCCGAAGTGCCCGCAATCTGACGGAGGCTTATTGCGGAGAAGGCGCCGTGTAACCTAACTTTCGGCTGCACGTCAAAAGATCCCCAGGTGGTCGAAATTAATCCTCTGTGCTCCGCTGGGGCGTGCCAGATGCTCGCCGTTGGTTTTGCACGTAAAACCTTCCAATTTCACTCGTTAAATTATTTTTGTCCGAGGTGGCTTTAGAGCAAGAACCAATTACAAAAAAAAAGAGCGATTTAATGTTACTTTATTTAACCAAGCAACTCTAATCTGCAGTACGTTCTAAGTGAGAGTTGAAACGAATAATTTAGGTACCACGTTATGCTTTTAACTGCACGATTGGGGGCTAAAAGAGCTCATTTTGATATTTCGAGCCTCGTACTATGTGACTTTTTTTTGTTCGTTATAATAACAATGGAAGATACTGAAGAATTAAACAATGGGGAGCACATGGTTAGTTCAGTT